TGTCTGGGTGTCCATGTCCCTGGCTCTCTCTCTGTCCCCACCTCTCTCTCTGGGTGTCCGTGTCCCCGGCTCTCTCTCAGTGTCTGGCTCTCTCTAGGTGTCTGTCACGGAAAGAGGGGTGGTGGGGTACCCAGCTCTCCCTCAGTGTCTGTCTCTCTCTGGGTGTCCGTCTCTCTCTCTCTGGCTGTCCGTGTCCTTGTCTCTCTGTCCCCGTCACTCTCTCTGACCCCGTCTCTGTCAGGGTGTCTGTGTGCATCTCTGTTTGGCTGTCCGTGTCCCCGTCTCTCTCTCTATGTCCCTGTATCTGTATGGGTGTCCGTCTCTCTCTCTGTCCCCGTCTCTCTCTCTGTCCTTGTCTCTGTCTGGGTGTCCATGTGAGTCTCTGTCTGGGTGCCTGTGTCCCTGTCTCTCTCTTTCTGGATGTCCGTGTCCCCGTCTCTCTCTCTCTGTCCCCGTCTTTCTCTGCGTGTCCTTGTGCGTCTCTGTCCCCGTCTCCCTCTGGGTGTCCGTCTGCGTCTCTGTCCGCGTGTCCGTGTGCATCTCTCTCTCTGTCCCCATCTTTCTCTCTCTGTCCCCGTCTTTCTATGGGTGTCCGTGTACGTCTGTGTCTCTGTCTCCGTCGCTCTCTCTGGCCCCGTCTCTGTTTGGGTGTCCGTGTGCGTCTCTCTCTCTCTCTGTCCCCGTCTCTCTCTCTGTCCTTGTCTCTGTCAGGGTGTCCGTGTGCGTGTCTGTCTGGGTTTCTGTGTCCCCGTCGCTCTCTCTTTGTCCCTGTGTCTGTCTGGGTGTCCGTTTCTCTCTCTGTCCCCGTCTCTCTCTCTGTCCTTGTCTCTGTCAGGGTGTCCGTGTGCGTGTCTGTCTGGGTTTCTGTGTCCCCGTCGCTCTCTCTTTGTCCCTGTGTCTGTCTGGGTGTCCGTTTCTCTCTCTGTCCCCGTCTCTCTCTCTGTCCTTGTCTCTGTCAGGGTGTCCGTGTGCGTGTCTGTCTGGGTTTCTGTGTCCCCGTCGCTCTCTCTTTGTCCCTGTGTCTGTCTGGGTGTCCGTTTCTCTCTCTGTCCCCGTCTCTCTCTCTGTCCTTGTCTCTGTCAGGGTGTCCGTGTGCGTGTCTGTCTGGGTTTCTGTGTCCCCGTCGCTCTCTCTTTGTCCCTGTGTCTGTCTGGGTGTCCGTTTCTCTCTCTGTCCCCGTCTCTCTCTCTGTCCTTGTCTCTGTCAGGGTGTCCGTGTGCGTGTCTGTCTGGGTTTCTGTGTCCCCGTCGCTCTCTCTTTGTCCCTGTGTCTGTCTGGGTGTCCGTTTCTCTCTCTGTCCCCGTCTCTCTCTCTGTCCTTGTCTCTGTCAGGGTGTCCGTGTGCGTGTCTGTCTGGGTTTCTGTGTCCCCGTCGCTCTCTCTTTGTCCCTGTGTCTGTCTGGGTGTCCGTTTCTCTCTCTGTCCCCGTCTCTCTCTCTGTCCTTGTCTCTGTCAGGGTGTCCGTGTGCGTGTCTGTCTGGGTTTCTGTGTCCCCGTCGCTCTCTCTTTGTCCCTGTGTCTGTCTGGGTGTCCGTTTCTCTCTCTGTCCCCGTCTCTCTCTCTGTCCTTGTCTCTGTCAGGGTGTCCGTGTGCGTGTCTGTCTGGGTTTCTGTGTCCCCGTCGCTCTCTCTTTGTCCCTGTGTCTGTCTGGGTGTCCGTTTCTCTCTCTGTCCCCGTCTCTCTCTCTGTCCTTGTCTCTGTCAGGGTGTCCGTGTGCGTGTCTGTCTGGGTGCCTGTGTCCCCGTCTCTCTCTTTCTGGGTGTCCGTGTCCCCGTCTCTCTCTCTCTCTCCCCATCTCTCCCTCTGTCCCCGTCTCTGTCTGGGTGTCCATGTCCCCGTCTCTCTCTCTGTCCCCGTCTTTCTCTCTCTGTCCTCGTCTTTCTCTGGTTGTCCATGTGCGTGTCTCTGGCCCCGTCTCTCTCTCTGGCCCCATGTCTGTCTGGGTGTCCGTGTGCGTCTCTGTCTGGGTGTCCGTGTCCCCGTCTCTCTCTCTCTCCCTGTCTCTGTCTGGGTGTCCGTGTGCATCTTTGTCTGAGTGTCCGCGTGCTTCTCTCTCTTTCTGGGTGTCCGTGTCCCTATCTTTCTCTCTCTGTCCCCACCTCTCTCTGTCTGCGAGTCTGTGTCCCCGTCTCTCTCTCTGTCCCCGTCTCTCTCTCTGTCCCCGTCTCTGTCTCGGTGTCCGTGTCCCTGTCTCTCTCTCTATCCCCGCCTGGGTGTCCGACTCCCAGTCTCTCCCTCTGGGTGTCCATGTCCCCGTCCCCATCTCTGGGTGTGCGTGTCCCCGACTCTCTGTCCCCGGCTCTCTCTCTCTGGGTGTCCATGTCCCCATCTCTCTGGGTGTCTGTCTCTCTCTGGGTAGCTCTGTCCCCATCTCTCTCTGTCCCCGTCTCGCTCTCTCTGGGTGTCCGTGTCCCCGTTTCTTTCTCTGGGTGTCCGTGTGCATCTCTCTGGGTGTCCGTGCGCGTGTCTCTCTGTCCCCGGTGCTCTCTCTGTCCCTGGGTGTCCATGTCCCCGTCCCTCTCTTTGTCCTCATCTGGGTGTCCGTCTCCCCATCTCTCTCTCTGTCCCCGTCTGGGTGTCCGTGTCCCCGTGTCTCTCTCTCTCCCCATCTCTCTCTCTGTCCCCGTCTCTGTCTGGGTGTGCCTGTCCCTGTCTCTCTCTTTCTGGGTGTCCGTGTCCCTGTCTCTCTCTCTGTCCCCATCTCTCTCTCTGTCCCCGTCTCTGTCTGGGTGTCCGTGTGCGTCTCTCTCTTTCTGGGTGTCCGTCTCCCCGTCTCTCTGTCTGTCCCCATCTCTGACTGGGTGTCCCTGTCCCCGTCTCTCTCTTTCTGTGTGTCCGTGTCCCCATCTCTCTTTCTGTCCCTGTCTCTGTCTGGGTGTCCATGTGCGTCTCTCTCTTTCTGGGTGCCCGTGTCCTCATCTCTCTCTCTGTCCCCGTCTCTCTCTGTGTCCCCTTCGCTGTCTGGGTGTCGGTGTCCCGGTCTCTCTCTTTCTGAGGATTCCTGTACCCGTCTCTCTCTTTTTGAGAGTCCGTGTCCCCATCTCTCTCTGTCTGGGAGTCTGTGTCCTGGTCTCTCTCTCTGTCTTCGTCTCTGTCTGGGTGTCTGTGTGCGTCTCTCTCTTTCTGGGTGCCTGTGTCCCTATGTCCCCGTCTCTCTCTCTGTACCCATGTCTTTCTGGGTGTCCGTGTCCCCGTCCCTCTCGTTCTGGGTGTCCGTGTCCCCGTCTCTCTCTCTGTCCCCATCTCTCTCTGTCCCCGTCTCTCTCTGGGTGTCTGTGTGCGTCTCTGTCTTTCTGGGTGTCTGTGTCTCTGGGTGTCCCTGTACGTCTCTCTTTCTGGGTATCCGTTTCCCCTTCTCTCTCTCTGTCCCCGTCTCTCTCTCTGTCCCCGTCTTGGTGTCCATTGCGTCTCTCTGGCCCCGTCTCTCTCTCTGGCCCCGTGTCTCTCTGGGTGTCCATGTACGTCTCTCTCTGCCCCCGTCTCTGTCTGGGTGTCCGTGTGTGTCTCTCTCTTTCTGGGTGTCCGTGTCCCCGTCTCTCTCTTCGTCCCCATCTCTGTCTGGGTGTCCGTCTCTCTCTCTGTCCCTGTCTCTATCTGGATGCCTCTGTCCCCTTCTCTCTCTCTGTCCCCCTCTCTCTCTTTGTCCCCGTCTCTGTCTGGGTGTCCGTGTGCGTCTCTCTCTCTTTCTGAGTGTCCGTGTCCCCGTCTCTCTCTGGGTGTCCGTGTGTCTCTCTCTCTCTGTCCCCGTCTTTCTCTGGGTGTCCGTGTGCGTCTTTCTCTCTCTGTCCCCAGCTCTCTCTTTCTGGGTTTCTTTGTCCCCGTCTCTCTCTCTGTCCCCGTCTCTCTGCCCCCGTCTCTGTCTGGGTGTCCGTGTGCGTCTCTCTTTTTCTGGGTGTCTGTGTCTCTGGGTGTCCGTGTCCATGTCTCTCTTTGTGTGTCTGCCTCCGTGTCTCCCTGGGTCTCCACATCTGCGTCTCTCTCTGAGTGTCTGCCTGTCTCTGGGTGTCCGTGTCTTCTCTTTTTCTCTTGGTGTCTGCATCCATGTCTCTCTTTCTCTCTGGGTGTCCGTGTGTCTGGGTGTCCGTGTCTCTCTCTCTCTTTCTTTCTCTCTGCGTATCCGTGTCTGTTTCTCTCCGGTTGTCCATGTCGCTCTCTGGTTGTCCACGTCCGTGTCTCTCCTTCTCTGAGTGTCTGTGTCTTTCTGGGTTTCCGTGCCTGTCTGTCTCTCTGGGTGTCCGTGCCCGTGTCTCTCTCTCTCTCTCTCTCTCTCGCTCTGCCTGGGTGTCTGTGTCTCTCTCTGGGTGTCCATGTTTATCTCTCTCTCTCTCTCCCTCTTTTTCTCTGGGTGTCCGAGTCTCTCTCTCTCTCTCTCTGTGTGTGTTCCTGTTTCTCTCTATTTCTTTTTTTCCCTGGCTGTCCGTCTCTCTCTTTCTCTCTCCCTCTCTCTCTCTCTGGATGTCCGTGTCTCTCTGTGTGTCCGCGTCCGTGTCTCTCTGGTTGTCCGTGTCGTGTGTGGGTGTCCGTGTCTCTCTCAGTATCTACTTCTCTCTGGGTGTCCGTGTCTGTCTCTCTTGCTCTCGGTGTCCGTGTCTCTCTCTCTCTCTTTCTGGGTGTCCATATCTCTCTCTCTCTCTGTGTGTCCACCTCTCTCTCTCTGGGTGTCTGCGTCTCTCTCTCTCTCTCTCTCTTTTTTCCCTGGGTGTCCGTCTCTCTCTCTGTCACTCTCTCTCTCTGTGCCCGTGTCTCTTTGGGTGTCCACGTCCGTCTCTCTCATTCTCGGGGTGTCCGCGTCCACGTCTCTCTCATTCTCGGGGTGTCTGTGTCCATGTGTCTCTGTGTGTTTAAGTCTCTCTCTCTCTCTTTTTCTCTGGATGTCCGTCTCTCTGGGTGTCCATGTCTGTCTCTCTCTCTTTGCGTGTCTGCCTCCGTGTCTCTCTCTCTTTCTGAGTGTCTGCGTGTCTCTCTCTCTCTCTGTCTCCGCGTCTGTCTCTCTCCAGTTGTCTATGTCGCTCTTTGGGTGTCCACATCCGCGTCTCTCTCTTTCTGGGTGTCCGTGTCCCCGTCTCTCTCTCTGTCCCTGTCTCTGTTTCTCTCTTTCTCTGAGTGTCTGCGTCTCTCTGTGTGTCCGTGTCTGTCTCTTTTTCTCTTGGTGTCTGCGTCCATGTCTCTCTCTCTCTCTTTCTCTCTCTCTCTCTTTCTCTCTCTCTCTCGTTCTCTCTCTCTGAGTGTCCGCGTCCATGTGTCCCTGGGTGTCCGTGTCTCTCTGAGTATCTGCTTCTCTCTGGGTGTCCGCGTCTCTCTCTCTCTCTCTCTCTCTCTGGGTGTCCGTGTTTCTCTCTCTGGGTGTCCACGTCCGTGTGTCTCTGGGTATCTGCTTCTCTCTGGGTGTCCGTGTGTCTCTCTGTGTGTTCACGTCCACGTCTCTCTCTCTCTCTCTCTCTCTGTCCTGGTGTCTGTGTGTGTGTTGGTCTCTGGTTGTCTTCCCCTCTGTGTGTCTGTCTGTCTCCCCTCCCCTTCCCCGTCTCTCTCCGTCTCTGGGTGTCTCTCTATGTGGGGATGTGTCCATCTGTCTTGGTCTCTCTGTGTGTGTGGGTGTGTGTGTGTGGGTGTCTCTGGGTGTGCATATCTCTGTGTATTTCTCTGTGTGTGGGTATGTGTCTGTTGCAGTCGTGGCAGCCAAAAACACAAACACCTGGGGTAGATGCAATGCAAACTACGCTTTATTGTTTTCCTAGTACATTATTTATACAGAGCGTTCCTCGTTATAGCTGCTGCTTATTGGTGAGGACTACAAAGGACAATAGCTAGTAATAGAATTATGATTGGATGATTCTTAGCTTGGCCAGTTTCTGCTCCATGGCCAAAACCTCCTTAAATTTGTTAGGAAATTCACACAGAGACAGCAGATAATTATTATCTCATGGATACACATTAATCTTTTCAAGGTTAACGTTCTCTGCTAAGGGAGCCAGGGATTCCACAGACGTGCTGTAATCCCTGACAATTCCCCCTTTTTGTATTTGTGTTACAAAAATGGCACTAACGGTTCACTGCAGGGCCCTTTGCAGCAGACGGATCAAGCAAGGTACTATTAATAACATAATTACAATAATTACCAAAATCAGCAAACCTGTTTTCACTAGAGATAGTAACCACCCAGAGAGACCCCAGTTACCAAACAACTTATTTAACCACTCCCATCCATCATCCACTTGCAACTTGCCTACTCCGTCTCTCAGTATCTGAATACTCTTGTGTATGGATTCACTGTGATCAGACAAATTCATGCAGCACATTTCATCAAAATCTTGACAACCATGCCCTTGTGCTAGTAATAGAAAATCTATTGAAGCTCTATTTTGCAGGGTAGCCTTACGAATTGAATGTACATCTGCTAGGAGGCCTGCTAAGGCAAGCTTGGTGGCATTAGTCTGCTTAGCAAGCCAGTCTCCCAGCTTGGCGAGTTGCTTATGCGCACCAGCAGCAGCAACTCCAGGTATAAATAAGGATACAGCGATTGCCTCAGCTGGATTCCAGAATGTAACAGCATTGTCACAGTTCTCATCAAATTTGTGAAAGCTACGGTGCACCCTGCCACCTCTAGTATGGGCAAGGATCATAGTCAGATTGGGAGTCAGTAAGGTCAACCTTCCAATTGAACAAGGGCCCCTGTGGGCCTGGGAGGGGATCCCGGGCCAGGCCCATTCCCCACGTATCAAGAACGCCCCTTGAGGGGGCTTTAGCGGGTGGTCTTGGCCCACAATCTTCATTGCACTAACATTTGTGGCTGTCTGGTTACACCAGTAAGTTGTGTTCTGGTATATAGGCGAATTGGGACCAACATCTTGAAACGTTCCCTCTTGATCCCCTCTACTACTCCCGGTATTATTGAACATTATGCACCAATCCATTTGGAGAGAGCCCAGCAAATCAATCTCGAGGCTCACTATAACGTCATACTGTGCCATTAACCCATATCCATTGCCCTTCCAGGCTCCCTCCTTGATGTACTACAACTAAACAGCAGTAGTCCTGACAGCTGGGATTCTCTGTGCCATTACAATTCTGAGGATCACCACTAAAGTTTCTCCCAACAATCGTCTTGTTACACCATGGGTTGCAGTCCTTGTCCTTATAGTAACTCATCGCCGTCACTTCCCACCATTCTCGTTCTTCTGCAGGCACTACAACCAGGCAGGTGCTACCCAGACATTGCTGTCTGATCCTCTGGGTGGAGTTGGAATCCCGAATTCTCTGCCGGTGCATCCAAGGAGGAAGAAGACAAGAGCTGCTGCAACACCAGTCATATGCACTGGGCTGGAACCCATCGTGGTTCCATGTCTGTGGAAACACAAGCATACCCCTTTCCCCAGGTTATCAGCTCATGCGACCCAGATCATGGGCCGGCAACTAAGTCATGAACCTGCACTGGTACCCGCTGTGGCACCTTTTCCATTGTAGTCAAAGAGGGAAAAATGCGAAAAAACGGGTGAAAGAGTAGAGTTATTAGGGAAGGAAATAAAGTTAAGCACATATATGGCTTTGTCTAGTCTTGCCTGTGGGGATTTCTCCTGCATTTCCCCCTTTATTTTTCGCATGAGGCGCTTCAGAGTGCCATGCAAGCCTTCAACGATGGCTTGGCCTGTAGGGGAACGGGGAATCCCGGTTCTGTGCTGAACACCCCACTAATTTAGAAAACTCTGCGCCTTTTTGGAAACACAGGCAGGACCATTGTCAGTTTTCACTGTTCGAGGAATGCTGAGAGTTGCAAAGGCATGCTGAAAATGGCAAATTACATATGTATAAAAATTTCTCCCCTTCTTGGACTGTAGCATAAGCAGTATGGGAAAAGTATCAACAGAAACATGGACAAACCGAAGCCGCCCAAATCCAGAGATATGGGTGACATCCATTCGCCACAATTGTAACGCTTGTAGGTCTCTCGGGTTAATTCCATAGAAAACAGGGGTCTGCTGTCCTTGACAATCAGGGCAGGCACCAACTATAGATCGTGCTGGGAATTGCATCAAGCCAAATTGTCGACTCAGCACCGAGCTGCCCTGGTGAAAAAAGTGATGAGATAATAAAGCCTGCTGGTGTTTGTTAGGGAGCGGACCCAAGGCCACAGCAGACACAAGG